GTCTCGGAAAAAAAAAAAAAAAAGAAAGAAAGAAAGAGAGAGAGAGAGAGAGAATGGAATCCAAGGTTGACTGCTTGCCTCTGCTCACACACACAAACACACACAATTTTTTTTTTTTTTTAATGAGGATGAACTAGCAGGAGGTGGTAGCACACGCCTTTAATCCCAGTACTAGGAAGGCAGAGGCAGATGAAGCTTTGTGAGTTTGAGGCCTGGTCTACAGAACAACAAGTTCCAGAACAGCCAGGGCTACATGAAGAAACCCTGTCTCATCTTGAAAAAAAAAAGTGTACATACACACACAAAAATTTATGATAAAAATAATAAATGATGCCAGGCAGTGGTGGTGTATGACTTTAATCCCAGCACTCAGAGGCAGAGGCAGTTGGATCTCTGTGAGTTTGAGGCTAGCCTGGTCTACAGAGTGAGTTCCAGGACAGCCAGGGCTGTTACATAGAGAAACCCTGTCTTGAAAAACCAATAATCATCATCATCATCATCATAATAATAATAATATATAATAATAAATGGTAAACAAACACAATGGACCATTAGCCATTATGAAGAAAAGGGGGAGAACTAGAGAGCATCACGTGAACTTAGTTGAACACTGAAAGACAAATGTCATCTGCGTTTTTTTTTTTACTCACTGTGTAGTCTTGGAACTCACTTTGTAGACCAGGCTGACCTAGAACTCACAGAGATTCACCTGCCTCTGCCTCCCAAGTGCTGGGATTAAAAGTATGAGTCTGGCCACATGCATTCTTTCATAGGCAGAATTTTTAGAAATGCTGATCTGAATGTAGGAGAGAGACTATTGGAGACTGGGAAGGATGCCAGGGGGAGAAGAGGTGGAGAGGAGCGTAAGTGTAAGCTAACATGATATATGGATGTATGAAAATATCATGGCAAAACCACTAATTTGGCAGGCATAGTGAAATGGTGCACACCTGTAATCACAACAGTTGATAAGTACAGGCAGGGGGATCAGGAGTTCAAGGTCATTCTCAGCTGCTAGCTAGATAAAGGCCATCCTTGGCTACATGACACCCTGGATCAAGAAAAAAGCCCTTACTTTGTTTGACTAACAAATGTTAATAAAAACTGCATTATAGCAGAGTTAAAAGAGTACATAAGCTAGAGGTAATCTAACCCCACAGAAGCTAATGAAGTACTCCAGAGAAAAATTCAGTAATATAGCAAAAGGATTATGTATCAAGAGTAATGGGGTTTATTCCATTATTTGTTTAGCATACAAAATCATAAGGAGACAGATGCGTAGCTTGGTCTGTTTAAGGGGCCACTGGCAGTGGGACCAGGATCTACCCCTAGTGCATGAGCTGGCTTTTTGGAGCCCATTCCCTATGTGGGGACACCTTGCTGAGCCTTGATACAGCAGGGAGGGGCTTGGTCCTGCCTCAACTGGCTTTGTTGACTCCCCATGGGAGGAGTGGATGGGAGGAGTGGATGGGAGGGTGGATGAGGGGAGTGAGATGGGGGATGGAGGGTGGGGGGTGGGAGTGGGGGTGGGTTGTCTGTAAAATGAATAAAACATTAAAAAAAAAAAAGAGAGAGAGAGAAGTTTAAAAAAAAAAAAAAGTGAGTTCCAGGACAGCCAAGGCTACACACAGAGAAACTCTGTCTCAAGCAAAACAAAACAAAACAAAAAATGAGTTGGTGGGGTTGGAGAGATGGCTCAGTGGTTAAGAGCACTCACTATTGTTGCAGAGAGGCTATGGGTTCGGTTCCCAGCTTACAACTGTCTGTAACTCCAGTTGGAGGAGATCTGACACCTTCTTCTTCTTGCCTCTGCACATACATACCAGGCACATACATGTGGACAAAACACTCACATGCATAAAATGAGATATTTTTTCTTTTTATTTTATTTTATTTTATTTTATTTTACAATACAATTCAGTTCTACATATCAGCCACGGATTCCCTTGTTCTCTCCCAACCCCCCCCCCCAGATAATATTTTTTAACTTAAAAGACAATCACCAATTTCAAAGGTGCAGATGGTAACTTGCTGTTTAGCTAGTTATACATGCATGGATCACCCCACTTCTACTTTCCCAATTTCAGCCAACAAAGATACCTATCAAACTCTATCCCTGGGGGAAACAGTTGAGACTGACTCTCATTTCCACTTGCAAAATCAGTCCTGTCAGTGACTGGCATCCTGCAGGTGGACAAAATGGGCTTACTTCACTTACGACTGTGCAGTTGGTAGCAGTTACAAAGTTATTTACAAAAATAACTATCTTAAACTCAACGAAATGTGGTAATTAAAAAAGATAATGATTTTGTAGCGCATAAATAACCATAAGCTCACATAGTCCCTGCTTTGAACCTTATGCCTACTTTTGGCAGATGGACTGCAAGTGCATAATTCCTAGGCAATTAAGTCAATGAACAACAACAATAACAAATAGGTGTTGGGGGAAACCTTTACATTCTTTTCCACTTTGATGATATGCATTCTAAAGGTCCCGGCCTTCCCATGAGCTCACATGAGTGGAAAAACTATTTAAGACTTGGAAATTGAAGCTGGGACAGCCTTTTTTGTTTGTTTGTTTGTTTGTTTGTTTCTCTTTTTTGGTTTTTTGAGCAAGGGTTTCTCTGTGTAGCTTTGCGCCTTTCCTGGAACTCACTCTGTAGCCCAGGCTTGGCCTCGAACTCACAGAGATCCACCTGCCTCTGCCTCTCAGTGCTGGGACTAAAGGCATGTGCCATCATGCCCAGCTGCTGGGACACCATTAATCCCAGCACTTGGGAGGCAGAGGCATGTGGGTCTCTGTGAGTTCAAGGCTAGCCTGGTCTACAAAGTAAGTTCCAGGAGCTAACAGAGAGAAACCCTGTCTCCAATCTTCCTACCCCCCCCCAAAAAAAAAAAAAAAGATTTGAAAATTTTTGCTGAAGCCTAGTCTAAGTCAGTAATTTTGAAAGAAGGACTTTAGGGCTTAAAAAATAAAAACACCTAAGCCGGGCAGTGGTGGCGCATGCCTTTAATCCCAGCACTCGGGAGGCAGAGGCAGGTGGATCTCTGTGAGTTCGAGGCCAGCCTGGGCTACCAAGTGAGTTCCAGGAAAGGCGCAAAGCTACACAGAGAAACCCTGTCTCAAAAAACCAAAAAAAAAAAAATAAAATAAAAACACCTAAAATCAAAAATCAAAGTATGCTAGATAGTATTGCTATACTGCCATTCTCAGTAGCCTGGGTTCTAGACCTTTAGGGATCTCAGCTAAAACCAGACTTGGATTTGTGGCTTTTTTTTTTTTTTTTTTTTTTTTTTGGTTTTTTGAGACAGGGTTTCTCTGTATAGCTTTGCACCTTTCCTGGAACTCACTTTGGAGACCAGGCTGGCCTCGAACTCACAGAGATCTGCCTGCCTCTGCCTCCCAGTGCTGGGATTAAAGGCGTGCACCACCACCACCTGGCTGGATTTGTGGCTTTGACATAGAAAAGAATGACATTCTAAAACTAGCCATTTTATGGAGCAGAATTTGAGTTTACTTATTTTTGATGGAAACATCATCTTTATTGATATAAACATAATCCTTTATTATTTAGGATTATGATAGGCACTTCCATGACAAAAAGATGGCTCTAAGACAATGAAGAGTGAAACAGAAACATGTGAGCTAAAAAGACTTCTCACCCTCATTATCTCCATCAGCACTTTGCTCCAACTTCCCACAGAATAAGAGCTGGGGCTTAATAAAAACATTTCAATGGAGACGTAAGCACACGGGTTAAGAGAGACAACGCAAGTGTGTGGTGATGGCCATTTTCAAAGCCAGCAGACGCAGGCAGAGCTCTGTGAGTTCACGATGAGCCTGGTCTGCATATCAAGTTCCCCCGCAGACGGCACTACATAGGGCTCCTGTCTCAAATGAGGGTGTGTGTTTGGGGGTAAGGGACTGAGAAGAAAGTAAGACATCCAAGAGAATAGGTGTAGGCTTCTCCAGGAGCCCGTCAGACAAATCCATAGGTATGAGCTCTGTAAGGCAGAGTTATAATTGTTTAGTATTGATCATATATCCCAGCTTGATAGCTCTCAGGTTGTATCTCAAAAGATCACTAACCCCCCCCCTCCCATAAGTAGGATGGGTGAGGTCTGGGAATGCCTTGGATGGCAATCTGGTAGGGTGGTAAAACCATAAGTTACAAGGGTTACACAAGACGTTTAGTCTATGTTCTTTCCCTGTAAACCAGGTTTCTGATGGGATTTCTGGAAAACTGCAGGTTCATAGTTGGGAAAAGAAAGACCTTAAGCAGGTTGTTAATCATGTTAGATTTCTTGCTTCTCTACTGGTAAGAGGCTGGGGGTGGGGAGGAGGAAGGCTCTCCATTCCCCTTCTTTTGCCCCCTCAAATGTTTCTTTCCAGCCTGCCTCATTGCCTCTTGGTTCTAAATTCACCCTTCTATAAACCCAGCCTCCAAGTTGGGGCTGGCAAACCTCTTTACTCCTAGAGACAGCAGCATTAACTGGTCGGGCTGCCTCTTTGCTAGCGAAAGTGAGCACAACAGCCTGGAGTGGAAGTGGGTCAGGCAGACATGCCAACTCAGCTAGGATGGCCTTCAATAAAGAGTCGGTGGGTGGAGACATGGTCTATCAATGGTGTCCAACCCTGGACAGGACACCAACAAAGTACAGGAGAGCTATACATTCAGACACAAAACTGTGAACTTAAAAACATTGAGGTGGTTTTTTAAAAGATTTATTTTTAGAGTGTTTGCCTTTGCACCACGTGCGTGTATGGCACCCGTGGTGGTCCGAAGAGGGTATCGGATCCACAGGAAGTGCAGTTACAGTTGTGAGCTGCCATGTGGTTGCTGAGAATCAAGCCTGACTTTTCAGGAAAAGCAGCCGGTGTTCTTTCCCGCTGAGTCATCTCCCCAGCCCCAAACATTGTGTGTGTGTGTGTGTGTGTGTGTTTTAAAACACTTTTTTTGTTTGTTTTGTTTTTGTTTCTCTGTGTAGCCCTGGCTGTCCTGGAACTCGCTCTGTAGACCAGGCTGGCTCGAACTCTGAGCTCGGCCTGCCTCTACCTCCTGAAAGCCGAGATTTAAGGCGAGCGTCACTACCGCACCGGAAATGGTTTTCTCACTTTTCAATGAATGAGCTTTTGAGGTTAGTCTGTAACTGGCTTGGGCGACTGTCCAGTATGAACGCTGTAGATGAAAAGGCCCTGCAGCGATGACACCCAAAATGAACATTAAGCTCACAACCCACGGCCGGGGTGGATACCCTTAGGTGGCCCAAATACAATTCTGTGTGGTTCAGAGAAGCGAAAACGACGCCTGACAGCCCTGGTAACCGCCCACAGTCCCCCCCACCCCACCCCCCGAATCAGACGCAGGCCAGGGATGTCAGAACCGGCATTGCTCACCGGCCAGATTCAGAGCTGCACTAGCTGCCCACGGGCGGACCCGGGTCGCGCATCCTCCACGATGCGCCACCAGCTCTAGACCCCTCTATAACCGGCTGGGGCCTTTCTCGCTGGTACAGCAGCCGACGCCCCAGGGCGGACGCTCCTCTGGCGCCAGGGGGCGCGCGGCTGCTCGGGGGACCTTCTGGCCTGCGACGGCAGCTCGACTGCTCCGAGGCGGGCCTGGTGAACCCCGGCGTTTCCCACTCCCCCGCCCCCCGCAACGTGCGGGTATCGCTTGAGCTACTACCATGGAGGGGCCGATGGGCCCCGGGCCCCGGCAGGGTGGCGGAGGACTAGGCGCGACTAGGTCCACGTCCTCCGGCCGTACAACGCGGGCCTCGGCGATGCCCTGGGCGCGCTTCTCTGCCTGGCTGGAGTGCGTGTGCGTGGTCACCTTCGATCTGGAGCTGGGCCAGGCGCTGGAGGTAAGTGGATGGGCCGGCCGACCCTCCAGGACGGTCTCGGTGCCCTCTCCTTCCGCGGCCCGAGCCTCTCCAGACGCCCCTCCTCTCCGGACGTCCCTCCTCTCCCGATGCCCCTCCCCCCCACGCTCCTCCCTCCCCTCGCCCGCACCCCTGCTGCTGCTCTTTTCCTCCCAGTCCTTGCTCTCCGCTGCGCGCCCACCCTCCAGGAAGCTGATCCCATGGCCTCCTCGCCTGCAGCCTTCCTGCTTGGTCTAGGGTCCTCCTCGTCGCCTCTCTGTATACTTTGTATCCTCGGGCTGACCTTTATCCCACTTCCTTCCACTAGTGACTAGCTCAGCGACCTCCTCTTTCCTATCCCCAGTCACCTCTCCAAGAGGAGCCTCTTCCTCAGAGCTCTAGGAGCGCTTCCCAGGCCAAGAAAGGGACGGTCTCCAAGGCCTGATGGCCTATCCATCAATTTATTTTCCGCAGCATCTTCGGTGGCCCTTTCCCCCAAAGAGGCCCAAATACCTCCTGCCCTCAGTTGCTCAAGCCAGAGTTCCTAGGGTCCATCTCCCCCCAGGTTTTACCTTGTGTCTGCTGCAGTCTCCGATATCACCCATACGTTCGTTTCTGGTTTTCCTGCTAGAAATCCTGTGGCGCTCCTCTTTAGCGTAGAATCAGATCCAGACCCTGTGAGGCCCTGCCTGGCCCCTCTGTTTGTAGCTCTGCTCAACCTTTGGCATCTGGTCACCAGCTGTGTGCAGCTGGGCAGGGCCATAGGCTTTTGATGTGGTCTTTCTCTGGCATGAAGGCCTCCATCCCACTTACACATAAAGACAGCTTCTCTTCTAGATAAAGATGAAAACATCAGCCAGGCTGGGGTACATGCAAACCCAGCGTTGGGGAGACTGAGGCAGGATCATAAGTTTGAGGCCAATATGGATTATATAGTGAGTTCCAGAGTAGCCTGAGCTACAGCATCAGACTTTGAAGAAAGAAAGAAAAAAGATGGGCGTGGTGGGTGGCACGTGTCTAATCCCACCCAGTACTCTGGAGGCAGAAGCAGGCTGATCTCTTATGAGTTCAAGGCCAGCCTGGTCAACTTAATGAATTCCACGACAGCCAAATCTATACACAGTGAGACCTGGTCTCAACAACAACAACAACAACAACAAAACCAGCTAAACAAAAACCACCAGAAAGATAGAAGAAGAGGGGGAGGAAGAAAATGTTTCAGGCTCAGTGAGGCATTTGGCAGGTCCAATCAAGATAATGTCTATGCTCTAAAGGGCCCTGACACAAACCAGGGAGCTGACCATCACAGGAGGTCCATTGTAGATGACTAGATGATGGTGTCTCAGAGGCTGACCATGATGTCAGCGTGACCTGTGAGAGCCTGAGAGGTTGTGAGTGTAGCTGAGGTAAGGCTGCAAAGTGACCCTTGAGACAGCTGCTGCTGCGGCATACCTTTGTTCCTGGGAAATGCTATGGCTCCGATGATGAGAGGCTAGAGGTCTAAAATCTTCTAAACAGAAAAGTGGAATTCTTTTTTGTCGGCGGGGTGTATATGTTTTGAGACATGGTTTCTTCCATGTCACTTCTGCTGTTCTGGAACTCTGTAGACCAGGGTGGCTGTAAACTCACAGAGATGCGCCTGCCTCTGCCTCCTGAGTGCATGCTGGGATTAAAGGTGTGCACTACCACCTTCGGCCATACACATACTTTTTTTTTTGCTTGTTTGGTTTTTTGAGGGTCTTTGTAGCTAGGGCTGTCCTAGAACTCACTATGTAGACCAGACTGGCTCTGCCTTCACTTATATTGGCTTTTTGAGGGAGACTTGAGGGGGCCTTGTTGTTATAGGGCCTGTCATCACCATGCCAGAGGCTCCTCTGTCCTCTGAAACAGACTTTCTTCGGCCTCAGTCTCTGCCTCTAGGTTCGAAGGCGTGTACAACCATGCCTGGCTCTCAGCTCGGCTTTTTTTTATATCACCCAGGACCACCAGTCTAGGCCACAACAGGCTGGGCCTTCCCACATCATTCGCTAATTGAGAAAATGTACTACAGACTTGCCTACAGGCTAGTCTTACAGAGGAATTTCCTCAATTGAGAGACATTCTTCCCAAATGACTCTGGCTAGCTAGTGTCAAGTCGATGGAAAACTAGCAAGCACACCCAGTCTAACTAGGGCTAAAGGTCATGGAGAAGAGGAATCAGAATCGAGGAGAAGGTTCTGATGTAAGGTTCAACATGTAGGAAAGGAGGAGGTCACTGGGAGGCCAGGGAGTGGGCCAGAAGGATAGCAAACACATGCTTATGGACCCTGCTGAGCTGTCTTAGTGGACCCCTTTGCCTCAGGCAGGTAGATACATTATCACCAAGTACTCTGTCTTCCCCTGCAGCTAGTCTATCCACGTGACTTCCAGCTCACAGACAAGGAGGTAGGTTTTGGACTTCTTGGGAGTGGATGTCCCCAGGAGTGAGCCAGCCCTCACTGGAACTCTGTTTGTTTCAGAAAAGCAGCATCTGCTACCTGTCCTTTCCAGACTCCCACTCAGGTAGGCAATCCCACACTCCCTGAACCGGACACCGGCCCTGGGGCTGGAAGGTGATGGGCAAAAAATGGAGTGATGGGGCCAGCGGTATGTCGGCTGCCAGCAGGCTACGGGGCACTGTAAGGATGGACCCTCACCAGAGCCCCAGCTGCAGCAAGATAGCCAGGTCCTCTAAAACCCACAGATAGCCAGATATCTGGGCGATCTGGTCTCCTTCACTCCATTACAGCAGCCACCCAGTGAGCACTGTGTAGTTTATTCTCCTGCCCCAGGCCGCCTGAGTTAGGCTCCTGCAGGGAAAGTGAAGATGAGTCTCTGCGTCTGTTCATTCCGAGACTCTTGTGTGATGTATCAGGATAGGCGTCTGTTGGGAATCAGATCGTCAAGTTAAGTTTTCCCTTGAGTGGGCATTTGCCCTTGTACCACAGTCCTCACCCCTGATAGGGGGAGGAGATTCTCCTATTCATGACGTGTGGTGGGGCTGCCCCTTTTCAGGATGCCTTGGAGACACTCAGTTCAGTTTCCGTATGCGTCAGTGTGGAGGACAGAGGAGCCTCTGGCATGGTGACGACAGGCCCTATAACAACAAAGCCCCCTTGGCACTGCAGGTGAGTAGTGGGATGCATCTGGTCTGTGTCTTCCTTCCCTTTACTAGGGGGCCCCTCCCTGGCTCCTGGCTGTGAACTTCATAACATAACATAAGCCCTTGGGCTTATGCAGTAGAGGTGCTGGCCAGGCCCATCCTGTGAGGTCAATAACTGTAAGCTGCAGATCCTGCACTGTGGGTCTCCACCTGGGTCAGCTCTTCCGGGGTTCACCAGGATCACTACATTGATGCTGTACATCATGTCTCCCTGGCTGGGCACCTGGGTGATTAAATAAGCTGGGGCTCAGTGAGCAGAAGTCTGCAGGGCCTTCCAGGGGTGCTGGGCACTCTCGTGCTGGCTAAGTTCTTTCTGTGTCAGTGTTCTGTCAGTGGACATACTCTAGAATGGTTTACCCACCTTCTGAACTGGAGACTCCTACATCCCACTGTGGTAGACACAGGGCAGGCCCTAGTCGGCAAGTGCCTCCTACATCTTCTGGATTCTTAGGTGTTTCTTAGGGTTTTTTGTTGGTTTGTTTGTTTTAAAGACAGGGTCTCTCCACATAGCCCTGGCTGTCCTGGAACTCACTATGTAGAACAGGCTGGCCTTGAACTCACAGAGATCCGTCTGCCCCTACCTCCCAACCCTAACCCGGAGTGCCAGGACTAAAGGCGTGTACCACCATGCCTGGCCTTAGGTTTCCTCCTTAACAGGCCCTGCTTCTGTCCCCCTGGATCTAGCAAATGGTCGGTGTAGGGCATGGCTAACACTGCACTCCTTACAGAGAGAGCCGGCGCACTACCTGGGCTACGTGTACTTCCGACAGGTGAAGGACAGCTCTGTGAAGAGGGGCTACTTCCAGAAGGTGAGCTGCCTGCCGCTGTGAGCCAGTGCTGTGGAGAGGTAGCAAATGGTGGACAGCTACAGGACACCTAGTGAGGAGTCCTGAGCCTCCACTCTGGGGTGCCTACCCATCTGCAGCCCACCTGGGTAGCAGGACCAAGGAGGAGCCACCAGTGGGCCCAGTTCTTCCTGAAGACTTTCTTTGCCTAGGATGGCACTTGAGGCCTTTCTGTCCCCGGGCCCAGAATATCCCAGCTCCTCAGGTCTTGCTGGTGTCACCACACTGCCAGGATAAGGACAACTTAGGCAGCTCACACTTCCCTCTGAAGTCCCTAGGCCCAGTCCTAACCCTGCTCTCACCTGGGGTTGTCCACCCTGTGGTTATCTGCGCTAGCTCAGGGTGCAGACCTCAGGCTTTCTCTTTTCCAATCCCGACACACGAGTTAGGCTATTCTGTGGCAGCTGTCCCACGGGGTGACGGGGGATGTGCTGCCCTGACCAGCTCTGGGTAAGCGTGGCTGCAGGGTTGCCATGGGCTCCTGAATTATAGGAATGATGTCTGTAGCTGAATGCCCTCTGACTGGCCCTGCATCATCAGTCTTTAGTGCTGGTGTCCCGCCTGCCATTTGTCCGGCTGTTTCAGTCGCTCCTCAGCCTGATCGCCCCTGAGTACTTTGAGAAGCTGGCACCGTGCCTGGAAGCAGGTGAGTGGCCATCCGACATGGCCAGCGTTGTCTCATCTCAGCCCTTTGGGACAGCTCCTGACATTGGCCACCTTTGTCCACAGCGTGCAATGAGATTGACCAATGGCCAGCCCCCGTGCCGGGGCAGACCCTGAACCTCCCGATCATGGGAGTCGTCATTCAGGTGAGGAGCAGCCGAAGGGTAAGCCATGCCAGTGTGGGTGGGTGGAGACGCTCTACCCCCTTTGTGGCAGCTGCTTCCTTCTTCCCTAGGTGCGAATTCCGTCCAGGGTGGACAAGCTGGAATCCAATCCTCCAAAGCAGTGTGACCAAGAGGTGGGGGATGGGGTAGAGGGAGCTGGGCCTTAGCCTGAGCCCTGTCCCTGGGCTTGGGTGGTTGTCGCCTCTGCCTCACCAGTCGCCTTTGTGGGTGGCCAGGCCTAGGCAAAGCCAGGGTGGTGGCCGGCAGCTTCAGTGTGGATGCTGTGCTGGGGGGGGGGGGGGGGTTTTGGGGGGTGGGGGGGGGGGGGGGGGGAGTGGCATGGGGCTGCAGGATTGTCATCAGAGAGAGCGTTCACCTGGGCCTGACCTACCTTCCCTTCCCTTCTCAGAACCTGCTGCCAGCCCCTGTGGTCCTTGCTAGTGTCCACGAACTGGATCTGTTTAGGTGAGCCCTGTAGGGTAGCACAGGCTACTCTGAGGGAGCCTACCCTCAGTCATACACACATGAGTGTGTATGTCATGCAGGGCACAACTTGCCGAGAGAGGCTGCTCATCTGAGTGGCCCTTGAGAAACTTGCACAGAAGAGGAGACCTGTACCCAAGTGTCTGGCTTAGGGAACATGCGCACAGTGGGCAGGAAGGTCCTTTGCCCAGAGAGGTTGCAAGGGAGACATTTGCTCTCTGAGGCTGCCCCTTTGGGCCTTTCTAGGTGTCTTCAAGGGGTCCTGGACTTTGAGACTATCTTCTTCCATCCTGGGCCCAACAGGAGCCAGGACTTAAGTCTGGAGGCATAAGAGGCTATAGGAATAGCAAAGCCCTGGATTGGTAGACCCCCCGGGTCACAGGCAGGGTCCAGGTCGGGTCCCCTAGGCCAGCACTAGCTCAGGTGGTCTGTCAGAACAAGGGGTGACTTTGGTGACCTGAGACACCCCTTACACTTGGAGCACCCTTGCTGCTGTCTTGGGGAGAGGTAGTGCCCTGTGCTTACCACGGCACCTTTGTAACTGGGCTGCCCGACTGACCCAGTTGCTCTCTCCTCACCAGGTGCTTCCGGCCAGTGCTAACCCATGTGCAGACCCTGTGGGAGCTCATGCTCCTTGGGGAGCCGCTAGTGGTCCTGGCGCCCTCGCCTGACGTGTCTTCAGAGCTGGTGCTGGCCCTGACCAGGTACAGACCTTACCCACTAGACTGTTATGGCTGTGCCTGGTTACCCCCCGCCTTACACATTCCTTGCCGCCCTACCCCCGCAGCTGCCTACAGCCCCTGAAGTTCTGCTGTGACTTCCGCCCCTACTTCACCATTCACGACAGCGAGTTCAAGGAGCTCACAACGCGAACACAGGCCCCGTAAGGACATGTCCTTCCTTCCCGCTCTCACACACTACCTCCCCTAGGTCTCTCTCTGCCTCTTCTCTCTTTCTCTCTCTCTAGACCAAACGTGGTCCTGGGAGTCACAAACCCTTTCTTTATCAAAACACTCCAGCACTGGCCTCATGTCCTCCGAATTGGGGAGCCCAAGATGTCAGGTGAGAAGCCCAGGGGCTATCAGCCTCACCAGCTTGGGACCTTCGGTGGGGTTCTGTATCCAGTACCTCCGAAGCCACAGGCACAGGCAGAGCTGTGGGTCCTGAGCCTTGGCTACTGGGTGTATTTCACAGGCGACCTTCCTAAGCAGGTCAAGCTTAAAAAACCCTCCCGGCTGAAGACCCTCGACACCAAACCAGGTCTGTGCTTCCCCCTTGGGCTGCAGCCTCGTCTACTCTGGTAAGGCCTGTCCTGCACTAGGTAGATTCCTCCAGTGGCGATGGCCAGGCCTTCTGACGCTTTTTCTTTCTACTCAGGCCCCATGGTGGCAGGTGGGGGGGACGTTGTCTTCTTTAGCAGGTCTCCTGAGTCTCGGGACGGATGGGGTGAGAGACGTGCGGGTTCTGTCGAGGGAATGGGGCTGTAGGCAGATCAGACAACCCTCTTCATCATCAGTAGAGCTGTGGGAGCAAGGAAGGGAGGGCTGAATGGACAGCCACAACTCTGACTCCCTGCCAGGGCTCTACACCTCCTACACTGCCCACCTCCACCGGGACAAAGCATTGCTTAAAAGACTGCTCAAGGTACAGGCTCGTGGGTAGGGCCTGGACGTGGGCACGTGTGTGCCGTGAAGGATGCAGGGTCCCAGCCAACGCTGAGACTCAGGTCCCCTGCTTCCTCTGGCAGGGTGTACAGAAGAAGCGGCCATGGGACTCACAGAGTGCCCTCCTGAGGCGGCACTTCCTAGAGCTCACTCAGAGTTTCATCATCCCTCTGGTGAGGCTCCGTGTGAGGCAGGGGCATGGCAGCAGTGGGCCCGAGGGAGGGATGGTCGCGGGTGGGGAGAGCACAGGCCGTGACAACGGGGTTGTGGCTCACACTCACCCCTTGTCCCTCCCCTCCAGGAGCACTACATGGCCAGCCTCATGCCACTGCAGAAGAGCATCACACCCTGGAAGGTGGGCGTCCGGGGAGTTCTGGGGAGGGTCACTTCAACCCCCGTACCCAGGAGGGAAGGCCTGAGACAGGTGTCCACATGGAACAGTGGGTGGCTGTGATGCAGAAGCCGCCAGGGCATGAAGTTGACCCTGTGCCTGCCAGGCAGCCCATCCAGGGCAGAGAAATGAGGACTGCAAGGGAGGGCCACTAAGAGAACTCCTCAGGGGCTGTCCAGGGATCTGCCCCAAGCGGTGGAGAGCTCTAGATACATCCTGGAGAGGGAGGGCTGCATCCTGCCTGCCGAAAGGTAGGGCCTGCATGCCTGTCCTCTTTAACACCTGGCTCATATGACCTTTGTCTCAGAGCCCACCCCAGATCTGCCCCTTCCGCCAGGATGATTTCCTGCGTAGCCTGGAGCACGCGGGACCCCAGCTCACCTGCATCCTCAAGGGTGACTGGCTGGGCCTCTACAGGTGGGTAAACATTTGGGCACAGGCCGCTGGGGGTGCCCCCAAACGCACGAGGCCGGCTCTTCAGCCGCCTCTCGCCGTCACAGGCGTTTCTTCAGGTCCCCCAATTTTGACGGCTGGTATCGGCAACGACATAAAGAGATGGCCCAGAAGCTGGAAGCGCTGCACCTGGAAGCTATTTGTGAGGCGGTGAGGGAAGGCGAAGGGAGGGGAGAGGTGCAGGCCCAGGGTGGGTGGGAGACTCGGTGAGGAGAACCTGACATGTCCCCAGCAGAATCTCGAGGCCTGGATGAAGGACAAGTCGGAGGTGGAAGTGGTAGACCTAGTCCTGAAACTCCGGGAAAAACTGGTGAGAAGCCTCCTGGGCCGCCCAGCCTCCGCCTGCCAGGCCGGAAGTATGGTCACCCCTTACTGCTGTTGTCTCTCCAGGTGCGGGCACAGGGCCACCAGCTCCCCGTGAAGGAGGTGACACTACATCGGGCCCAGCTGTACATCGATACAGTTATTGGCTCCCTGCCCAAGGACCTCCAAGCAGTCCTGTGCCCTCCCTAGGACAGGGCCAACCTGTGTGGTCCTGGGGGCCTAAGTCTGCCAAGTTCTCTCTCCACCAGCCTTGGGCTCCTACCTCGGCTTCAGCCCCTCCCAGAACCACCTCTGTCCCAGCAGTAAAAATGACATTCGCAATGACAGTCTGGTCCCTGACTGACTGCCGGGGGATTCTGTGCTGGCACTGTCTGGCTCCTTCCTGGGCCCCACCTGTCCTCCGCAGCTGGAGGTGGGCGTGGGCTAGTGGCCCTCACTGATGGAGGTGCCCTCACCACCTGCCCCCTCCTGGCTCCCATCTGCCCACACTTCAGGAGGCCTTGGTGGTGGGTCCTTTAGCCCAGCAGGCTTCCCAGCTCAGAGCGGAGGGAGGCAGCTGCCAGGGCCGGCCCTCTCCTGGACACTCCACCCCTTCCCTCTTCTGGGGAGTGATAGGTACCATGCCTAGGCAGCTACTTGAGAAGGCAGAGACTCTTTGTCCTGTGAGGACCTAAATCTCCCTCCTGCTGTGATTGGTCAGGATGAGAGAGTGAGGGACAGTTATGGGACCTGGCACCCCACTTGGACAGCAAGCTCAGGCTGTTCTTTGAGGTTCTCACCATGGTCCTTGTTCCCTTTCTTGGAACACCCCCTGGATACCTGCTCCATGAGTTTCACCCAGGCCACCAAGGGAGACTCCAGCTTTTCCCCTGGTGTCTGCCCCTCCCCTTGAAGCTTGAAAGGCTTTGGGCTATAGCCTAATGTTACATTCTCTGCTGTCTTGTCCTTAGTTGGTCTCTTAGGCCAGGGTGTCTCTTGGAGGTATTGTTCTGTGCTCTTCCTAGGAAAGGGCTAACCTGTGATCCCAGGTGCCTAAGTCTGCCAAGTCTCCCTTCAAGGCTCTATCCTGGCTTCGGTTCCCCTTCCAGAACCATGTTGTCTGAGCAGTAAAAATGGCATTTGGAACCATAGCCTGGCCCCTGACTGTTGGAGAAATCTTGGCTGGCTCTGTCTCCCCCCTTGCTGGATTGGATGCTGTTGTGCAGTGACCCCCCCCCCCAAGCCTGGGTACCATGAGCTACAATGTTCCAGCCCAGCACAGGATCGGGGGCCCTTGGGAAGGTGCAAACTAAAGTGCGGACCAGAGCTGCAGCCCAGCCCTGGCTGAGTATCAGAAACCTGTAGGTAGGTCTGCTGACCACTCAGACTCCAAATCTGAGCGGCCAGGCCTTGTAGGTGGCTCACTGGGCAGTGTTGGCAGTGAAGGGGGAAGGGGCATTCAGGAAGAGCAGGCTGTGCACCCTGTAATGTTTTAAGGGGTGTTAGCAAAGCAAGCTGATGCAGACCTGCACAGTGAGCTTTTGCTGTCTCCCAGAGCGCCCATGTAGCATGACTTCTGGTTCTTGAGACTTCTTCCACCAAACCAATATACACTGCCTTGCCATTCCCCCTGATCCGGGCTAAGTCCAGACAACAAAGGCAGTCCGTTGTAAACAGGTGCCAGCCCTGTTCCTAGATCGTTGTATATGCTCTCTTGTTTACTCCCTGACTGACTTCAGCCAATGACAACTTGTCACATTGTATCCATTTTACAGGAAACGGACAAGATGGATGTGATGAAGGTGTACAGTGAGCTAGATCAGTCTAACTCAGCGTCCAGTTAGAAAACTGAGCAGAGGCAGGTGGAGGCGGAGACCTTGGCATTAGAAAGAGTGGCCCTGGCACCCCCTGGAACAGAGGTGCCAGCCTCACCACCGAGAGCCTGGTCTCTAAGGGATCTTTAGAAATATGGCATCTTCCACTGTGACAGATGGAGCTCCCAGGCTATGGGGACAGCAGAGTGCTAGCCATTTGGAGTCTGTGAAACTGTGCCTTTGGTGTGCCCAGCCTCCTATCCAAGTATACAGTGGCCAGGATTGAAGTCCCCAGGTCTTAGTGGTCGCACCCTAAAGAGCACATCTCAAATGCCACTGCAGTGTGTTTCTCATGTTTTCACTTTCTAAGGGCTGTCATACAGTAGCTTCAGAGTAGTCCCATGGACTCAGCCACCATCCACCTAGAACTGTCCTAGCAGCTCAGAACACCGGACACGAGACCCAGGAAACAGATTTGGTGGGCGGGGGGATGGTGTGGATACAACAGGACTGCCTAGGGCATAGACCCAAGGCTGACACATACAGGAATGAGGAAATTTCCAGTCCCTTTTAGGGTTTTGTCCCCATGGCTGGGTAGCATTTACAGCCTGGGGCCTCCTACCAGCTACATCCTCTTCTACCCTTGCTCTCCCAGCTTGGGATCAGCTCCGAGTTAGTTAGCAGGGCTTCAGTCCAGAGTAGGCTCAAGCCTTCTAGTCCATGCCAAGGACAAGGGCCTGGAGGGAATAAGACAGATGGCTTCAAGGAATTGCTCCCCTCCCCCCAAGCCCAAGGTCCCTCATGGTTCAGATGCCTGGATGCATGGATAGTGAAAAGCTAATCCAAGTGGTTGTGGTCCCCAGGGCTCCCTTGTGTGGCACATTGGAGAGAGCTGTGAGCCGGCATTCAGGGGATCTAGAAGGGCTGGGTGGAGGTCATGAGGCAGCCAGCCCCAGGGACAGACCGGAAGGACAGGAGGACTCTTTTACCCTCCAGCTTCCTGCCTTCTATTTTGAGCCCTCCTCAGTTTGGAATACTGGTCTTCCCACAACTTTGGTATTAAAATATCCTTTTGTGATACAACACTTGTCTTAATGTTTTGATACAAAGTTTGCAGCCCTGTAAATCACTGGATATTTTGGGTGTGTGTGTGTGGAGGGGAGGGGGCTGTTGGTGGAGGGAGGAAGGTAGTGTGGACAAAGCCTGGCTGCTTGGTGATGGGCAAGCCCACTTGCTTAGAGAACAGAAGTCCTCAGATTTGTGAAATCTTGGCTGGGGAAGGCTTAAGAATTGGGACAGATCCCCAAAGTTGGGGAGGAGATGCCTGAGGGAGTAGGCAGTCTTCAAGGAGGGCAAATTTTGGTGGAGGAGTGTATAGACACCAGCCGAGGTTTGGGGACTAGTCCCAAACCCTGTTCCGAGACAGCGGGATCATTGCCATGTTAAAAAATCCATGGGACCACTGCATGGGTGACTTGGAGACCAGAAGTAGGAACCCTAGGGAGTGGTCCTGTCCCACCCTATAGATGAAGGTATATAGATAAAGACTTGCAGGTCAGTAAGGCCCAGATGTGCTAGGCCGAGGAACCAGGAAGGAGGGCAGAGTTTCAGCTTTTCTATGGGAGACTGAGCGGCTAGGATCCCGGAGAAAGAATCAAGGTCCAGCAGCCCTCACCCTCGGGAACGGGAACGGCATGAGCATGGTCCGCCTGTTGCCAATCTGGTGGTGAGGTTCCTTGCGCCCCGCCCATCTCAAAGAAGAACACTTGAGGCCTCGGTCTGGCCCTGCCGAAGCCACCCGCTAGTGCCGGGCCGCGTGCGCCATTCAGTTCGGCCTGGGGCACTCCCGGGGTGGTGCCCAGCCTCAGCAAACTCCTCTGATGACGGGGCGGTGGGGGGGTGGAGTGGGGTGGGGGACGCGACTTGCAGCAGGCAGGGCGCGCGGATTGCTACAGGCGCGAACCTCCAAGCAAAGCCGTGCGCTTAAGTGGCTCTGAGTCGGGGGAAACGCGGGGTGCGTTGGGGACGCCAGGCGCCCCTCCTACCCTTCCTCGGCTATCTTCTATCCCTTAGTCTCGTCCCTCCCTCTCGCCCGCCCCTGTCCTCCCCGCCCTCCTTCTCCCCTGGCGGGGGCGGGGCCGGCGGCTCCCGCGCGCTCCGGCCCCTCCTCGGCCACACAAAGGCCCGTCTCCATGGCAGCCGCGCGGGCCGGAGCGCAACGCAGAGCGCGGCCCCGGCGCCATCGAGCGACGGCTGCGGAGGAGCAGGTACCGCACTTGGGGACGGGAACTGCGGGGGGGGGGCGTCGCGCAGGCCCAGGCTTCGCCGTTCACGCCGCTCGGCCTCGGCTTGCGCCCCCAGACGCGGGGGTGCTAGAGCAGTGCCGCTGCGGGGAGGGCGACGCGGGCCTGCGTCTTTGCCCTGTGTCTGTCTGTCCAACCGGCTGGGCCTGGCTGCTCCTGCCCCACCGGTTGGCGACGAGGTCCTGCGCGCCGGGATGTTGGTAGACTGGCCTGGCAGGCCGGGTCCCAGAGACCCAGTGGAGCTGCACCCTACCCGGTGTAGTTTCGAAGCCTCCCTCCCGGCCGGCGCCCCTACCTCTTCGCCGCCGAATCGATGGACCAGAGCGAGTCATCCCTGTTGTGCCGGACCTCCAGGCCCCAGTTCTCAAGCTAAGCCTGCGCAGAGCCAGGATCTGTTGGGGCTTTTTTTCCCCCAGGGGTGCACAACCACAGCAGTCCCCACACCTTCTGGGACAGGGAACGAGGGACAGAGAGAACCAACAGTAGTATCTGGTGAGGCCCCACGCCTCCCGGCAAGGTTTCGGCAGCTTCTAGTGTAGTTCGTTGTTGTGGTGTTTGGAGGGACAGAGGGCTTAGAACTTGGAGGGTGCTTTCACAGTCTCCCCCTTCTCTTCCATATACCTTCTGCAGGGAGCTCTCCGGCATGTGCCCTTACCGTTCCTCTGGTCAGGCCGGGTGGCAGATTTGTGTGTGTGTGTGGGTCCTTTCTCCCTATCTGGGGGTTTCTGAGCTTAAGAATCCTAGAGTTTCTGGCCACGTCACTTAACTCCTCTTTCTAGCTCCTTGGAGAAGGCAGGAAGGGAGGTCGGCCAGTGGCCACCATGGTGGTGGTGGTGGTCAGAACCGGAGCTGAAGCCAGGCCCCAAAGCCAGTTAATGTTCTGGGGGAACGGAAGCTCTCAGGGCCCTCATTTGCCTTGGGGGGTGCCCCCACTAATGTCTGTCTTCCGTCTGTATTGATGGTTTTAAAGCTGAACTTCCCAGACTGCCCACACACACACCTTGAGGGTGGGAGCTGTCAGTCTGATCCCACACCCGGATGCTACCCTGCTACATAGGGAATACCACCGGAAAGCTGGTCTGCCCGTGCGAAGAGTTCTTCTTGCTCTTTGGTCAGAAGGTGAAGTTCCTACCAAAGTAGGGCGAGCATATGAGGTGTTTTGTGGAATGTGCCAAACCTTATTTGTGTTGTATCGAAATTGCTAGAGAAGACTGAGAAATGGGCAGGTGGACTACGGAGCCTTGGGCACCTAGTCTCACACCCAGCCGTGGAGTTGGGGAGGCCTGAGGACTGGCCAGAGGTTCCTAGCCCCAGGAACTCAGGGAAGTTACTTAGAAAAACAAGAGTTTGGAATGTGAGTTTCCCCCTCCCCCACGGGCTGCCTGCCAAGGAGGAATTATTTTGGATTATCCAGCCGAGTCCAGCGATTCCAGCTACCCAAAGAGGAGGCTGAAGCTGGAGGGGAGGCTGAAGGGACCCACTTCCGGGCCGGGCCGTGAGTTGCGAACCCCAGGAGGGCGGGGTTGAGAACCCCAGGAGGGCGGGGCTGGCAAGTCCAGGCAGCTCCACCACCTCCCTCCCACGGCTGCTCAGACCAGTCAGGGGCGGGGTAGGAGGGCATGTGTCACCTTGGGTTGGAGAAGGTCCTCAAGGTCGGTTCCTTTGTGAGCCCTGCCCAGCCTGGAATCTGCTCAGGCTCCTCTGAGAGAGCCCATGAGGCAGCAAGTACTTCAGAGCCTGGTGGAAGACCAGGTTTACTCCCCCAAACCATGCACCTTGGATGGGTCACACTCCTGGAGCTAAACTTCAGGCTACCTTCCTGTCTTCTCACTGACCAGCTGCTCACTGAGGGGCTGCCTTCCCTCCGACCCCACATTGGGATGTGATACTGGTCAGGACATCCCACAGGTGAGCGAGCGGATAAAGGTCCCCACAAGGAGCCCTTGGGATGTTCCTGAGTTGGCTCCTGGGGCTCATGACTGCCCCGGAGCCTGCATGGGTACCACTTAGGGAGGTAGAGCCTGCAGCTGATGGCCAAGGGCAGGAAGCCCAGGGACTTGGCCCCGGCCCCTGCTAGTGGAGCAGAAGAGATTGGATTGGAAAGGATTGGGCTGGGCTGGGCTGACAGCCTACAGAGGCGTCCATATGGCACATGTCCCCCCTACCAGATCTCTAGCTGTTCTAGGACATCCCCATGACGTGTCCTCTGCCTCGTACCTCTCCTGATGGTCAGTGCCGATGGTTCCTCGGGGATGTTGGATGTAGGCAAGGCTAGGCAAGACTAACTTGCCTACCTTTCTGCCTCTGAGGATTGTCACCCTGCAGTCAGGCATTCCTTGCTTATGTCCTCTGTCCCTCTTGCTGCTTCCAGCCCCGCCCCCCCACTTGCTCTTGATATTCAAGGAGTAAGCTTTTTGTCGAAAGGCCTCTTGTAAAAGGACTGGCATGGTGAGGGAAAGGGGGATAAGTTGATTAGAACTTCAACCAAGGCCTGGTAATCAAGGCTCCGGAGAGCCTGTGGATGAGGATGAGGCTGCCCCTCCTAGCCTCCGCTACTAGCCTCCCCATCCTTCTGTGCCAAGCCATTGGGTGATTAGATAGGGGTAGGGGCTGGGTAGAGCCCCTCCCCTAGGACTAATGGCTGTTTGTGTTTAGGGTGGGGTTGTGGGTGGGGTGGGGCTGGGTTCTGACTAATTATAGTCTGGGAAGGGCTGAAGTGTGTGTGTTGTGTGTGTGTGGGGGGCGCGGTTCAGAATGGGGTATTAGGGGCAGCTGCCCCAGCTCTTCTCTTTCCAGACCTCATGTGACTTCTCTTTTTTCCTCTCCATGGTTTCATATCCCCAGATAGCTTCTGCTCTGCTCTCTCCCCCCCCCCCCCAGCTGTGTGAGGCTCTTGCTCCCTGTCCTCAGGGACAGGTGCTGCCTCTGGAACATCCCACTGACCCTTCTAGCCCATTAGAGCATCTGAAAGGATAGGAAGGCCCTCTGCTGTCCTTCCTGTACCCCAACCCCAGGGGGGCCTTCCTTACGCTGAAACTCATCAACCTGTGACAGTGATTGGAAATCAACTCCCAGGTGGTCAAGGACTGGAGTGGACCTGATCCACCTCACGGTGACAGTCTTGTCCCTGGGAAGATCCCAAGCCGGTCCAGACTTGGAGCTGGTAGCACTATTTCCTGTCTTTTGTCACTCTCTGGTCCCGCCTCTGCAGTCCCCTCCCCCAGCCTGGCTCCCTGCCTCCCTCGAGGCTGGCAGCCTTCCCTGGGGTGTCCCTGTGGACGGCTGAGTTCACACCTGAGCTGCCTGGGGTCCCAGTGGACTACACACAGAAGGGGCTCAGCCTGGATTGGGACACCGTGCCTGGGGGCAGGGCAGGGCTTGGTGGCCACACCCTCTTTCTTCCTCAGCTCCCTGAGGTCCCTCCCTGGACTTCAGAAACCCAGCAGTTCCCCTTTCTGGTGTCTGCTGGGTCCCGGCTCTAGGCCTCAAGGAGAGGAAGTGGGAAGGGGTAGCCTCTATAGGTATATCCGTAGTTCTAACTCCAGCTCTTCCATCAGCCCAGCAGCCTGGCCTGGGGCATGTCCTGTCTGGACCCAGGGACCAGGTACTTGGAGGCAGGGGCCCCTCTGGCACAGCTGTTCAGTAGTTCCCATGGGGGGCCCTGGGTGAAAAAGAAAGGAACTAGTATTAATGTTGACCTTTCAGATGGTTCCCTCTGTCGAGACAGCTTGGGGGAGCTCTTATGTAAGAGGGTTGGCTGTGTACAGGGCTAGAGTTCTCTTTCCATGGGGTCACCCTGATCTGTGGCCTCTGAACTGGCATACCACCTGTGTCCTGCATTGGTCCACCTGTAGACTTGGTGATGGGTTCATGCCAAATGTAGGGATGTGCCTGGGGGATACATTAGGACCCTATTAAGTCTTCTTCAGGGGAAGAACACTTCCTATTCCCTTCGGTCCTACATCATGGGAAGAAGTCTCAGGCCACCTTAGAGTTCCTCAACAGTGCATGGGTGACTGGTTAAGAGGATGTTCTGTGATTGACACTCCATCCTCAAGAGCCCTAACCTTTTGTTGTTGTTTGTTTTTGTTGTTGTTGTTTTTCGAGACAAGGTTTCTCCAAGTAGTTTTGGTGCCTGTCCTGGATCTCACTCTGTAGATCAGGCTGGCCTGGAACTCGTAGGGATCTGCCTGGCTCTGCCTCCCAAGTGCTGGGATTAAAAGTATGTGCCACTGCCACCACCCAGCATCCTAACCTTTTTTTTTTTTTTTTTTTAACGCAGGCAAGTTGCTGGGTCTTAGGACAGCTCCAACACAAGAGCTGTCCTAAGGGTCTGTCTAGTTCGGGAGGAACCAGGTGGCATTTGTGTGGTTCAGAGGCTGAGGGCTTTCTGCCCTCTTTGTAGATGATAGCAGTGACCCTGGGACACAGAAGCCCCCTGCTGTGGGTCACACTCTGCCTCATCATCATGCACTTGATACCGGGGCACCTCTTCCCTGCCCAGTAAGTAGGAACAGCTATTTTAAATCGAGCTGGGTAAGCTGCCAGGGATGAGGGGTGGGTGACAGAAGAGAAAAGACTCTGGAATGACCCACTCACTACTCCAGCCTCAGAAATATTTCCCTAGACTGGCCTTAGGAGCGGGAGGTTCAGCCTGCCTTACCTCCACCTTAACCTCAGGCCTGATTTGGAATATTACCCTGGGATGCCTCTGCCAAAACCCCTATGGCAGAAGGAGGAGGGATCTAGGCAGCCCCTCCCTTGTCCAGGAGTGCTCCCTGGAACACCGCTCTTCACCTCTTCCAGGTGTACCATGGAGACTTAAAGGAGACTC